AAATTCTCCTGTTGCAGGATTGAAATATTCACCTTCCCAACTCCTTCAAAGTAGATCTCTTAGATCAAAACTTCCTGTAAGAGATAGCTGTCTGGCACCTCATGTTATAGATGATCCACAAGTTTATGATAAAAATTATCAAAAGACTTATTATAATCAGCAGTGCCGAAAATCAGTAGAATTTAACGAGGACGATACTGTTTTAGTACAAGACAAGTTAACTAAGTTGTGGGAAAGAGCACTCATTGTTAAAAAGCTTAATTTTAGGTCATATTCAGTAAAAATTGATGGCAAAATGTATAGGCGCAATTCAGTGTTTATTAAGAAATACAATGCTCCTCCATCAGAGGATGCTGAATCACATTATCACAAATATAACGATTTTGATTTTGATGAAACTGTTGATGTCTCAAATAATGTAAACATAGATAGAGCTGTTGAAGATTCAAATCAAAAACCAGAAAGACTAGACTTGTAAAGTTTATATTTGTAAGCTTTGTATTCTTGACGTTGAACCATTATTGTATTTTAAATTTTTTTGTTTTGCTGTAAGTAATATTTGTATTTCTAAATAATTTGTTAGATCAGATCATAAGTTACATACTACCTATATGAACATTGTAATGTATACTTCATTTTCATATTTTATTTTTGTACTTGAAACTCAAGGAGGGGGATGTGAGGTTGGTAAATGTTTGGTTGGTAACATCTTTGTAACTAATAACCTCAAGCTGGTTGTTACATCCTGTTCCTATTCTGAATACTCATGTTGTATAGGGTGTGTGCCCTAAATAATAAACTTAATACTATTGCTAACATGTGCTTATTAATTATTACATCTGAACAAGAAACATATGTATATTGAAAAATATTACAAAAAAACCCAATGCACTGATATCTACAACCTTATTGCGAAACATTTTTCGATAACTTCACTGTTTTATCTTAAACTGCCAATGGAATCCCGATCATCAATATGGATTTCGGAAACAAAGATTGACAGGCGACCTTCTATCGCATGCCACCCATATTTGGAATAACACAATCAATAAACATGGAGAGTCAAGAGCTCTTGCGCTTGATATTTCTAAGGCATTTGACCGTGTGTGGCATGAGGATTTGCTGGCCAAACTTCGATGCTATGGCTTGTCGGATCATTTCTGTGTATGTCTCTTCAGCTTCCTGAAAGAACGTTCCTTGCAAGTGGCCGTCGATGGATATCTTTCGAATACTTTCACCATCAACGCTGGTGTTCCCCAGGGATCCTTATTGTCTCCAACCCTCTTTTTATTGTATATCAACGACTTACTGAAAAAAAAAAGAATCCAATATATTGCTTTGCTGACGACAGCAAATTTGTCTCGTCATTCCATTTGGATTCCAGAACATCGGCTGCAGATGCACATCTTCACAGGCAGCAGGAGGTTAAATATCTTAATGAGGATCTAGAAGTGATTTCGAATTGGGGTGAAAGTAACTAGGTTCAATTCAATGCCACAATAACCCAGGCATCGGTTTCCTCCAGAAAGATAAATGTTTCTGAACCGGATATAGAAATGTCCAATCAGACAATTCCGCTTTCTGCTTCGATAAGTTTGTTAGGGATTAAAATGGACACCAATTTATCTTGGCATAATCATGTCACTGGAATTGCAAAGGCTGCTTCTCGAAAGCTTGGAACACTGTTCCAAACCAGAAAACTGTACATACCTCAGCAACTTTTGATCCTATATAAGGCTCAGATCAGACCTTCTTTGGAGTATTGTTCTCATGTATAAAGCTCTACCTCCAAACATACCCCGAAGTTGCTTGATTCCATCAAGAAAAGAGGTATCCATCTGATTGGAGACGCGAACATCACGTGCAACCTTGATAGCCTGGAACATCGAAGAAAAGTTAGATATTTGTCTCTCTTCTATAGATACTTTCACGGAAGGTGTTCAATTGCAAAGGCTGCTTCTCACTGTTCCGAACCAGAAAACTACACACTTCAGCAACTTTTGATTGTTTATGAAGCTCAGGTCAGACCTAATTTGGAGTACTGTTCTCATGTATGGAGCTCCGCCCCCAAACATACCCTGAGGCGGCTGGATTCCATCCAGAAAAGAGTCATCCGCCTGATTGGAGACGCGAACATCATTTGCAACTTCGATAGTCTGTAATATCGAAGAAAGGTTGGTGATCTGTCGTTTTCCTAAATGGATTTGACCTTCAGCGATTCAAATCCAATGTGAATCAATACTTTCGCACAGGCACCGCTCTAAGAGCGCCTTGAGGATTTTCCTGTAGTGCTTGTGTTTTTTTGCCGTCCTAAAAAAAGTGATACATACTGTATATAAAGCGAAAGTAATTTTTGTGAAAACTTCATAAGCAGTAGGAACGTAAAGTAGGTGAAAATACCCCAAAAAATGCATACGGGCATGATTTATATTGAGAACTGGTGTTACTGTAACTCACTATACTCTAACACCAAAATGACGAATGTGCCAGAATACAAACGAGGGGGGTAAAAAACAAGATTTCTATGAAAAAAACAAAAAAAAAATCTGAGTAATACGCCCTATTATAGTTTATCTGAGTGCTATGACGATACGGATGACAGCACTTAATTACACATGCAGAAAGTCTTCAATAGAAGCCAGCTCTCATATTGGCATGATTACCTGGACCCGAGTGTCACACAAAGAGCTAAACTGCCTCCATAGAAATTTTCTTAGTTTTCTCGCAAATACAAAAAACAGTGATGAAAATTATGTTTCTCCGTACCATTATATTTTCGTAGGCTGAAATTTTATATGTAGGTTTGTTTTATGTTGTAGATGTGCAATAAGAAAGGATTTTTCGATATTCTAACTGGGGCGCCCTCCTGGTGATAAAAGGGACGCGTTCACATATGAAAATTATCTTCATCACTGTTTCTCCGTATCACTATATTTTCGGAGATTGAAATCTATCTTTATCTGTAGAGTAGGGAGGGTAAGTGAAGGCCCACAGCACTAAGGAGTTGTCCTCCTAGGTCATCGTCCATCTTGTCCTTTCCAGGAAGATGGACAGGTCACTAGGAGACATCTCCTTTATATCGGCAGGTGAAGGCCAAGACTCGCCGAACACACACTCTCTCATTAACGATAACTCCGGACACTCATATAGGACATGCCTGAGAGTTTCATCTTTCTGTTCACACATCCTGCATAGATGTGAGTCCACTAGGCCCATATTATAGAGGTATTCCTCAGTTGACAGTGACCAGTCTACTGTTAAGCGTATATTTTTCCTGATCATCGCCAGATATTTCTTCAGCACCAGCTTCCCACGGTCGCCCAGGGTGATCCTGATAAGATTGCATGATTTGATTTCATCCCATCTCTTTAGAGATTGAGCATAGTCGTAACGTTTGGCTAGTTCCGCAATTGTCGAAGTCATTAGGCCGTAGGTGCCACTGGGTCTCAAAATTCTTAGTCCAGCCGCTTACTTGGCTGAAGAGTCGGCAATTACTTTTACTCCTGTCGTACCCTTTAATCCATCTCAGGATAAAATTATTATCTACCGAGGCTTTGGCTAAATCTTGGTGGCTCTCTAGTACTATCACTGAGGTAACACGTTTTCTGAGGTAACACGTGTTATATTTCTGCCAGACATTCCTTTCCTGGTTATTTCTTTTGTGGCGATTGTTCTGTTCGAACCACGCTGGTATTTTTTCCCATCACACACCTAATCCTTGGGCTTAGTGATCTGGAGTACACTCCAGATGCGTATTGCATTTGTAGCATCTGACTCTGTGTTCTGTTTCATTTGTATTTTGTAGGGTTTATTAAACACATTAACATAGGTCTTATTATTGCAGTGTAGATCCAGGTGACCACACGGGGTGAAAGACCCCATGCGCGTCCCACTGTCCTCCGATATTACTCATAAGCCACATAAGCTCTTTTTGCTCTACTCTGTAGGTGAGAGGTGAACTTTTGTATGTAGGTTCGTTTTATGTTGTAGATGTTCAATAAGAAAGGATTTTCAATATTTCAACTGGGGCGCCTTCCTGGGGATAAAATGGACTCGTTTACATATGAAAATTACCTCTTCATCACTGTTTCTCCGTATCACTATATTTTCGGAGGTTGAAATTTTGTATGTGTGTTCATTTCATACTATAGATGTGCAGTAAGAAAGAATTTTCAAATATTCCAACTGGGGAGCCAGCTGCGGGGGAAACGCTTATCCATAACTAAAAATTATCTTTTCATCACTGTTCCTCCATGCCCTTAAATTTCCAGTGAGTAAATTTTTATTTAGTATCAGCATTGCATCCGTGAAAAAACCCTAAATGCATTTGTGCATTCTTTTTGCAAGCAAGTGTTGCCCTCATTCGGCTTTGCTACACCGTACTAATGGTGGTCAAATCGTATGAATGTATTTTCTTTTTTCTGGGTGCTATGCCAGATAAAACTCTCTTCGTCAATGAGAACTAACTGAACATATAAATATTTGTTGTAATATATGATGAAATTGTCCGATATTTGATGAAAATCCATAACGTGTTCAAATAGCATATTATTCTGAGATTTTCACTGCATAAACAAGTCTGAGGAAGCTATTGTATAACGAAACACGTGTTGCGGTTTTGTAAACTCTCCAGTGAAAATCTCACATAAAGTATTCAGTTAACACTTCATTGTGAAAATGTCACTGGTCAGTTTAAGAAACCGCCACACTTGTTCCACTATACAATCGTTCATACTGTATGAATATGCCCGAGGAAGCTATTGTATAGCGAAACACTTGTTGTAGTTTGTTAAAGTTTTCAGTAAAAATCTCACAATACATTCGTTGTAAGTGATGTCATCAGGCAAAACTCTGTTGATCAGAATACTTGTGTATTTTCAGGAAAATATGTCATCCATTGTTTTCCATGTTTTCAAGCAGGAAAACAGGTGTTCGTTCATAATAACAATGGCAATTATAACAAAAAGTGAAGTGATCTAGGCAGAGAATGAAACAATGAGTAATATACAACAATTCCAGCCAGTTGAGTTTTTATTTATTTTAACCTACATATTCAAAAATCACATGTATCAATAGTATAATGTAAATGGACACCTCCTTCAGTCATTTCATGCAGCGTCAGTCATTTATTTTCAATATCACTTCTACCAAATCTCATATGCCCATAATCGTCGGAAATTTCTTCTCCTTTCCTTCCAAAACGCATGTGGCCATAATCATCCGGGTTGTTCTGTTGTCGCTTGGAAATTTCGAAGAAGTCATCAGCATCTACTGAAAATCAAGAATCTGTGTGTAACTTCATCATATATAATGTGTTTCGATAAGGTCCGTATAGGTTTTTCTCCAGATATTTTTAGAATAAAAAATTCACATAAATATAATCTCGCAATCGTTTTTGAGATACAGGGTATTTGCAACGCGGCTTAGACGTCATTCATAAAAAAGTTTATTTGTCAAAATTCGTTATGAGGAACCGCTTTCAAAAAATTAAAAATCCAGGTATTTCAAAAAGTGTAGCGCAAATAATAAATAATACATATATTTTGAAACAATAACTTTTGCTTGTTAGCACGTATCAAATGATCAAGTGGAAAGTGAGTCTACTCACGTTCCACATACCAAACTAGCAATGTAATCTGATTTTGTTTAAATAAAATTAGTGCTAAACACGCCTTTAAAGTTTTTCACTACAATCGGGAAACACCCTGTATATGCCCTGATTCAGTCTCTTCAACTGACAATTCAAAAATATTACCTAAATGACAGTTGTAAAAGGATAGTCAATTCCATTCTGATTTGTTCTGAAATGTATAATCAAAAATATGAATGAAAAGGTGAAACCACGAGTTGCTGAAATCTGCAAGGAAAACACAAAAAATAATTCTATTCTATCAATGACAAAATTTGGTTTTGAAACCAATACTAGTAAAGTTTTTATTTTTATGAAATGTAAGTGCAATTTGTTACCATTCATTTAAAGTAGAACTCATGTGAATGATATCTGAATTTCATTCCACAACGAATATTTGAAATACAAACTGAGTAGAGAAAAGTATCTTCTGTATAATTCAGTGTTCATATAGAAGTATTTGTTTCGAAAGAATGTAGTAGAAAGCCAAAAACTTTCTTTCCCAAAAATTAATCACTCCTAAAAAATATAACCCCTTCAATTGAATTTTTTTATGCTTTTTACCACTTTTATTTGTAACTATCGTTACCGCAGTTTCTTCCTATATGGACAACTAGTTATTGCCCACGGCTTCGTCCGCGTAGAATTTGGTTTGTCAGATTAAGTTTCATGACATACCATTTCGAACAAATAGTTACAATATTTTATTATTAACCCAAAACTTCAGGTTTCCAACTTCAAAACTGACAAAATTCAATGAAATCTTTAAACCCCTATTTTCCCACTTGGGGGTGGAAATTCCTGATTCCCTTTCTTGATGCTTATTTACGCTATACAAAGAACCTACCTGCATATTTAAAGATTCTAGGTTCAGTAGCTTCGGCTGTACGTTAATATAAGAGCGGACAACAGCTAGTTATTTATATTTTTACTTAAAAATTCAGTAACTAAAAAAATATGGCAACTGCACTGAGAATCGAATCATGTTACCTATAAAGACATTTGCAACACTAACACCACTGTCAACGACGTCTGCCCTCATGCTCTGCCCGCGTTTGGGTCGCGTTCTCGGGGAGGGCGCTTCATTGCTTAGATCGTCCCTCTACCGCCGAGCATTGTCCCTCGTTATCTTACAGTAGACGCGAAACGTAATGGCTTACTGCGTTGTGTTAAGTTAATCTTATCCTGATAACTTTAAAAGGATTCGTTCAAATTTATAAGAATTTGACAGATATTGTAAAATTTGCATTGTAAAAAACAGATTGATTGTATTCATGGCTCAGTATTTTACATATAATGTTTACCATATAAGAGGTAGATATATGCTATCGCGGACTTTTTTTTAGGCAGCGCACACTGCCTTAATAAAAGTCCGCGTGAAAAAAATTCATTACCTATAAAATCGCTCACAAAAGGTTCATTTTTCATTTGGGCATATTGAGGTGAAATTGGATGTCGTCCAAAACCCCTATTCCTGGATCGATGGTTGTTCTGTCCTCTACCCGGTGCTCCCAGAGATAATCCAAATTGATAGGTCAGTAGAAGATATAGGCTGCTGACGATGAAGAATCCAGTGAACAAACTCCTCAAAACCATAGTCACCTGTTGAAAGTAATATACAACTCATTTCCTGTATTGATGACCAGTACTACTTATAGGTGAAAAATGTCTGGAACTTTCAAAGAAAGGGAGAAAGTAATTAATTGGACGGCCTCACGGTGCAAAGGGCCTCGCGCCTCAAACCAAAAATAATTTTAAAAAATTAAGGAAAATCCAAAAGTACACGCCATGAACTTTTTTTATAAATAATACATTGGAAAATTCTCAACCTAAACATATTTAGATATTCGGCGCACGAAAGCATGCGTGAATATATTTCTTTTTAAGATAAACTATATTATATTATGAAATTAATAATTCGTTTATATTCAGTCTGGCAACATTACTTAGCGTTGACCTGCTATCGCGGGGAATCCCCGGTCAGACAGCCAATAAAAGTATCGCATGCAGACGCTGTCTCGCTTCATGTTCCTACATTATAATTTCTAAAAGTATTTGATGTGAGAATAAATGAAAGCATTATCATAGTTTCAAAACAATAACACGTGTTTAATAAGTAAAAATTCGGATTGCGTCGTGAAGAAAAATGATAACACTTGTGTTTATTTTATTTATCAAGAATAAGGTATAGAGAATTTATTATACTCACACTCATATTTTTTACAGTTTTCTTTACAAAACATTTCTTGATTGAAAATCATGACTATTATTTGTTTCATATCTACGATTCGTTGCGCTAGAATCCAGCTTCTGTTTTTTATTATACGCATTATATTGTCTTAAATGTTAGTGAAATACTTTGTATATTGTTAGATATTCAGTGTATTTGTAACACACCTGTTCTCTGAACGCACCTTGTCACTTGTCAGAAAGCAAGCGTGGACACTTGTCACATTGTGTCGATGAGTTGGCTGGTGCTTCCGTTTATTGTATGACACGTTGTCACGTCGGTGTTACAGAAATAAAGTAAAAACTGTAAAAGTCGTTTATTTCAAAGTCCAACCTAGTCAAGGATATAACATATATTACCTACTAAAGTAGGTAATATACAAAGTGATATTATTATGTATTATATTCATCCAATTTTTATTCCAAGAAATTAGTCCACTTCTGATAAGTTAATTATAGTCAAGGAAAGAAACAAGTACCTACAAATGTTATTATTTTTTCACAGGTTACCCATACAATATTGGTGTATTCTTCATAATGTATCAATCATGTCAGGCTTAGGCACTAAAAGAGATAAAGTTAAATGGAGAAAATGAAAATCTGGTTCAGCAAAAAGAAAAAGAAAATTTTTATTTCTTCAATTAAAATTAAGTGAGTAAATAGCCGCAGTGTCAGTGACTTTGACTGGGGTTTCAATACGGCGACCTAAACATGATGTTTTTTCATTACTTCTGATTACTCTTTATTTTATTTCATTTCTGTATATTTTATTTTCTTTTTGAATACTTTATTTTTATACTGATCATTTCTTTTTATTACTCATTACTTACTATTTTTAATTTTGTTGTTTCACAAAAGTACATAAGTTGAAGTTTTGGTGCATCTTAATGAATGAAAAATCATTTAATTTCAATTGTTTTTTTCATTTCATAAACGCCACTACAGTAGCAACGGAGTAACTTTCAGACACAAACTGGAAAGCCAAAACTTTTCTTTCCAAAAACGAATCTTTCCAAAATATGTATCCTTGTCAATTCACTACTTATAATAATACAAATTAATAAATCAATGCAAAATATAAATGACAATGTGAAGGAATCTATACAATGGAAATTATGAATACCTTATGATTAGCTAGATACTTAGAACATTTCATTCAGGTTTACATGATACCGAATATGTGCCCAAAATTATTGCAACCGATATGAGCAAAGCTTCTGGACTTTAGTTGTCAGCTTATAGTGTCGGTTGGCAGTTGATTTCAAAGCTTGCTTGAGTTTATAATTTTGGCTATTATTCACAAAGTATTTTGCACTCAAAACATATTATGATATGGAAAATATCAGAACGTGAGCCAACGTTGAATTTTTAGAGAGCCATTTGATACCTCTGGAAAATGAATGATTTGCATATTCCAAAAGTAGAAATGCGTTCCATCCTTCAGTTTAAATGGTACACGTGACAATCTCCAAAAAGTGAAAATAGATGGGGGAAATTTTCCGAAACTTCTTGTACGGGTTTCATAAATTTAGATACTGAATACGAGTAAGATCTTTCCTAACCAAACGCCGTCCAAGCATAATCTCGGCTGTTCCAGATTGTTCTAGAAATTGAAGAAGGCGAAGGACACTTTTTTTCAAGGACAAAACGTGCTGTGCCTGTGCTGAAGTAGCGATTCACATTAGATTTGAATCGCTGGAGATTAAATGCATTTGGAAAAACGTTCTCAAGAAATTTATTTCACATAAAAACAGTTCTACAAATCAAAAATTTCTCAAACAGTGAAGTTCAAGGCGTACCTGTTGAACCTCAAAACGATGAGCAGCCACAGCCCATCGCGTACTTCTGATATGTACCGCTCTTGGTGTGCCAGGTCACTTGAACACTACCCGTGAAAGTATCTATAGGAGAGAGACAAATCTCCAACCTTTCTTCGATGTTCCAAACTATCAAGGTTGCAAGTGATGTTCGCGTCTCCAATCAAGCAGCATCAGGGTATGCCTGGGGGCGGAGCTCCATACATGAGAACAATACTCCGAATAAAGTCTGATCTGAGCTTTATGAAGCAACAAAAGTTGCTGAAGTGTGTACAGTTTTCTGGTTCGGAATAGTGTCCCAAGCTTTTGAGAAGCAGCCCTCGCAATTTCAGCGACATATTGGTGTCCATTTAAACCTCTAACAAACCTATCGAAGCAGAAAGCGGAATTGTCTGTCCTGAAATTATTATATCCGGTTTGGGGACATTAATCTTTTTGGAGAAAATCGATGCATGGGTTTTCGTGGTATTAAATTGACCCTGATTACTTTCACCCCATTCGAATTCACCTTTGGATCCTCATTGACATATGCAACCTCCTGCTGCCGGTGAAGATGTGCATCTGCAGCCGATGTCCTGGAATCCAAATGAAATGGAATGACGAGACAAGTGTGCTGTCGTCAGCAAAGCAGTATATTGGATTCTTGATTTTTTCCAATAAGTCGTTGATATATGTTTGGAAAAATATGTTTTCTTCGTTAACCAGCTATTGCACCCTTACGAACGATAACCCTCAGAAGTTGAAACTTCTGCGAGCTAAAGACTAACGGGGTCTTACCTTTTAACGTGTGATTCCTAACACGGGTTGGACGATAGCAAGTGAGAATCGAGCGTTCAGTCTGGGGCTTGAATCATCGACTCACACATCGGCCGATTGACTGAGTGAACAAAGCACACACGTCGAACCGCCCGGCTACCAACCGATAAGTTGTTGATATACAATAAAAAAAGGGTTGGAGACAATATGGATCCTTGGGAAACAACAGCGTTGGTGGTAAAGGTATTCGAGGTATATCCAGCGACGGCAATTGCAGGAAGCGTCCCCTCAAGAAGCTGGAGAGCATTAACAAACCTAGTTCGGTTTTTGGCACTGAGATTTTTGCGCCACTGTCGGTAACTGAGATTTTTTGAGGCGACCGCTTGCTCGCAATTTTTGTTGACCCAAGATTTGCCGTTAGAAGTTCGTTTCATTGAAAAAGGAATATATGCATCCATGGATGATAGAATAACTTCCGTAACTTCAGAAACACAAGTTTATGGATCATTAGAGTTGAAACAAACATCTATCCAGGGGAAATTCCGGAAATGGTCTTGAAGATCATCCCACTCAGCAGATCTGTATTGCAATTTTTGCGTGGCTTAGATTGTTCCCCAACATTCATAGGTAATTCACCCAACACTGAAATGAGTTTATGGTCAGAAGATCCCAATGGAGACCTAACGGTGATTGTGTACATTTCTGGATTGATTGTTAGGTATAGATCCAGAAGCATTGCATATTTTCCATCACGATCTGGAATCTGGGTAGGTGTGCTGCTTTTTGCAAAAGCCTCAGCTTCGCGATCATGGATGGGGGGTTAGAGAGCTACCACAGCAGAAATTCACAATAATAGTCTGCAATGTTCCAGGATTTTCCCGAAAATGTCAGATCATTTCCGAATATTTCAACACATTCCAGAATGTTCTGAAATGTTGCAAAATATTGTGGAATGCTTCGATTGTTCTGGACTGTTCTAGAACTTTCTGTAGGACGAAACTTCTAGCTCTTATATCATCTGAAGCGCTCTCTACAGGTAAAAACGGAAGCCTTCTTCATGAACAAGCTGACACAATGACAGAAACACATCTAGAAACTTCGAGGAGTACACCATCAGGGATGTGTTCCACAGAGGTGACATTTTATACCAATTTTCTTTCATATATAACGTTGTGTAGCATTCCCATGTTTTGAATTTATGAATGTACTGACCCGTTACTTGATAAAAATTGATAACACTATCCATGATAATAGATTCATTTCTACCGAGAAAGCTACGGTGTCAGCGAAACGCGTATAAAAATTGAATTGTGTAATTATATCATGGATAGTGATATCTGTTTTAATTCTGTAATGAATATTTGGAGTACAAAATGAATAGGAAAGAGTTGTTTTCGTGTAATTCAACTTCATATGAAAGTTGTTGTTTGGAGAGGACTTGTTTTGGGTAATTCAATGGATAATTCTTTTTCTGCATAGAGGTTATTTTGAAGTTGATTTCTTTCTTCTTTTCTTAGAAAATTCTTGTTTTTTGTTTGACGTTTTTTGTTTTACTCAATTTCAATCTATGTTATATTCCTCTGTATTATTGATGTAAATTTTCACAGGTGGAATTCAATGGTACGAGTTAACGCTAAAAATAATAGGTTAGGTTAGGAAAAAGAAACCTAACCTAACGCTATAAATGATGAAAATAAAAAGCTGAATATAGTGTACTTCGCGAATGTTCAGATGGAATATAGTGTAGGACCTACACGATAGGTTATGAAGTAGGGTATGAAGTGGGTTGGTTTATAGAAGTTAGTCTGTGAATTTGAATAAATATTGGTGAACTCACTATCTCGGAATTAGTGAAATCTCTGAATCGAGATAAAGGTCTGTGGGGTTCGCTTGTGTCTCCTTAGATAGTTATTTGGTCGTCAGTATGTATTGAATAAAATAAGAACTCAGATAAGAAAATAACTGATGACTGTATGATGAAGAGGTTAAATGTTATAACCATATCGTTATATTTGATTTGATCTGTAGTTATAGAACATTATAGATTCACTTACTTATATATCATTAGTGAAAAGTCAAATCATGAAAGTTTCTGGTGGACATTCAGATTATTGAGGCGAACTCAATTCACTACTACATTAGAAGCCCTGGCAATTTACTCAATTCAAAATAGGTTCTCAAACGTCAAACTCAGTTCGTTATGAAATATTTAGATTTTAACGAAAAATAAAAATGAAAACGTGGATTGGCAAGTAAAATGAGTATATATATATATATCTCTTTAAGAATTTGTTATGTGGCAAAAAAACTGTTATTTTTCAAAGTTCGTCCCTTGTTTGGAAACTTGATTAGTTTCAAGTCAAAAGATCTCCGTATCAGAATAGCTTTGAGCTTGATTGCACTTTTCCATTTTCAAATCGAATAAAATAACTGAAACAGGAAATATTTTTGAATATTTTTTCAGATTACTTTTTGTTATCCATTGATATTACTCTCAATAGGAATATCGTTGATAAATTAATCTCATTTTGAAATATTTCATGTCAAAGAAAAGGTATAGTAATCTATTCTCGAAATAAAATCATTACTCGCTCGAATTATTTATAATCACCAAATTTCTCGGTCGTTGAATAATATATTATTTTCTCATACATAAATATTCATATTTTTGAGTATCCAGAGAAATATTTTTCATATAGTGTGAAAGTAATAACGAAATATTTCAAAATATCATTCAATTTTATACGAAAATATTTCTGAAACATTCAATACTTATTTCATATTACTATAGTAATCACTATTAGTTATACATTCAAAGTTTGATTGCTTGCTACGTTTATTACCTGATGAATTTGAAGTTGTCTCTATCGAATTAATTTGCAATTTTTAAAACACTATGAAAACTTTTGATGTATTTCGGTTTGGAGGTTTGAATAACTCAACCGAAATTATATCAATAAATAAATATAGGACTTCCGATCTTCAAAAAATATGGTCTTAGGAAAATAAGGAATTGGGAGATTTGGCTAATTTCGGTTTTGAATTATTCGTGAAAGCTCAAGAAAGGTTTGAAAGGTGATTAAATATGAGGAAATGAAAAAATAATGAAAGAACTAAAAAACGGCAGGACAAACTTTTATGAATTTTGTGTTTTTGGATGTGTCTTGGGTAGTCCACATCATATGTATGAATATGCGCAAGATGCAATGACATTGTTAAACAACGAGTTTTTGGGGAATTTCGGCTGGATGTATTTTATGGAATGACAAAAAAGGGGCCTGCCGCCTGCACAAATTCTTATATGTTCAGTTGAAAAAATTTGACAAGACGAAATAGATGATCTAGAAAATGCATCTACAAGTGACAAGTGAAAATCGATCGTTCAGACTGGGGCTTGAACCACCGACCAACACGGCAGTCAATTCGAGTGAGTGAACAAAGCACTCACGTCGAACCGCTTGTCTACCGACCTCAAATTTGAGGAGGTGGAATGGATATGTTGATTAGATTGTAAAGAATATAGTTTTGTTTTTCATTAATTTTCAGTTTGCGGAATCTCAATGCACGTTATGTGCATGAACGTCATTCATCTCATTGAACTTTAAATCGACATATTTCATTTTACTTCAAAATGAATGAATTCACAGACTTTTGATTAATGAATAGAGTCTACATCCAATAATTTATTAGGTGTATAGACATTTTCATGAGAGTAGACACCGACTTCCTTGGAATAAAACTTTCCCCGATCCACAACATAAAATTAAGTACTCACCAACAACATACCAGGGAAATAACACTGTTGGACTGCATATCCACTTCTAGCACCCTTCCTTTTATATGAAAAACAGATAATCACGTGAGAAAACAGCGTTTTTAAATTCAGCAAGCGATTTGCCAGAGTAATAACCAGGAAAATTTTACATTATGTTGCCAATAACAATATTAACACGTCGAACAGAGAGAGGGAAAAAATCCCTAGACTGAATGTGTCAAGACTCGTTATGTTGGTTATAAAAATTGAAATACAATTTATGAATTCTTTACATATTTTCATCGGAAGACAGATGGTTCATAGAAACTCTGCAGGGTTGGTGAAGACAATAATAAAACACAATAACTGTCGATGAGAATTCTTGAATAAATGTCGTTTCGAAGCTTTTGATTCAAAAAATGCATTAAAATAGTAAAAGCCAATATCTGAAAAACTATTGAGGAAAATAATTGAATTTTATATTGTTCAGACCAAAAAAATACAGGGTATTCTATTTGAAATAACAAAGTTATCATTGTCCGAAATTAGAAAAAAGTATAATTTTGAGAAACGGGTTTAATCGAAATCAATAGCCCGAAACCTCTTTTATGCTTGGTCAGAATTCGAAGGGATGATTTCTATGTTATTTTGTTTCCCATTGTACCTAACTCTTTCATAAAAAAAATTAATAACTCCAGAACGGTTATAGTTAGGTACACAGTATCTGACCTATTCAAATCTGCAACGAAATACAGGGTGTTTCTTTTAAAAAAACACAACTTCGATATTTCACACTTTTTTGAGCTAACAATTTAAGAGCCATCGGTAGACAGCTGTTTCAGCCTATTGGGCATCGTCAGTACCGATGCCCCGCTGGGAACCGAATCAGGTTTTTATAGTTCGGCAGAGCCGTACTCTTACCATCTCACCTGAAAGACCACTCACCATACAAACTAATCGGCTTCGTTAAGAAGCTGGTTTTATTTGGTTGAGTGTGAATATTTGCGAGCCACAATAAACCCTTGCGTGTTGCGGCGGAAGGTTAAATAGACCCACTCACTTTGGACATAACCTAACCTAACTTGTTTTCAAACTAGATAGATGAAAATTTATGGCTGTCTCAGAGGATTAAATTTTATGACAAACTCAATGGTGAAAACCACATCATCGTTTCTGAGTTACAGCATGTTTTTCGAACATCTTTTTCGAAAATAGGATATCAATATTTATTATTGGAAAACTATTTTTTACGGAGACACCCTGTATATTATTGCATATTTCAATAGAGCCTAAAATTACTTTTCCAAAATCAGCACACTTGATGTTTTGCAAGAGTCATCTTTGAAATACAGAGCTGTTAGGTTTTTCATGTAGACTTTGTTCAAGTAGGCTTAGGACGACTCGACGCCACGATAAAACGGTAAGAAATTATGCAGTATAGTAGCTATCAAATGTTGAGAAAGTTTTTTACAGCAGTAATTAAAACGCATAGTTTCAATAAAACTGATAACAATTCATACTATATTTAGTACTAATGAATGAAAGTTCAACAATAATAATTATAATGATAAAGAGCATTTCTCTTTAGGGCAGCTGCCCGAGCAGCTGATGAACTTGGTTTAGTTTTCGACACTGAACGAGGTGACCACAACTCTGTCAACGAGTTGGAACCCATTCAGCAAAAAGCTCATATAAAAGCAGCAGAGATCACCTCACTTTTCCGGAAACACAAGGATAAGCCAATGCGTGGGATCTTCTTTAATAACATTGGATACTTTGGCTCATCAAAACGCCTGACTTTCGCTTTCCTCAGGTCGAGTGGGCTGAAGTCGGAAACTGAGGGGTTCATCATGGCTTGCCAGGATTGTGTCTTCAACACCTTAGTCTACCGCAGTCGCGTCATGTGTATGGAGGTTCCTGACACAAGGTACAGACCCTAATGCACTTGCTATCAGCATGTCCAGCATATGCGGTCTCGGCCTATATCCATGGTCTTGAGAAGTGCTATATTACCGTCTACGGCACTCTAACGGTATTGACGAGACACCGGTGATGCCCTACGCTCCGGGGATATTGAATCCGTTGTGGGGAACGAGAAGTGCCGAATTTATTGGAACTATTCGTTCCCCACCCTCAGGCTCATACAAGGTAATAAGCCTGATATAGTCCTTCTCGACCACCAGAGCAAGACGATATTTGTCGTGGAGTTTTCAGCTTCTGGCGAGACGAATATCGTCCGAAAAGAGGAGGAGAAACGAATAAGATTTCGAGATTTTCTCTTCGAACTCCGCAAACTCTATCCAGACCTCTCTGTCAAGATGGTTGTTCTTATTATTGGAGTCCTTGATGGAATGATGTCCTCTCTACTCTCAAATCTTAAAATCATACCGGCTTACCGCAGTGAGGCAGAAATCTTAGCCGGGCAGATGCAGAGGGCTGTCATTTTTAGCTGTCATTTTTGCCTCACTGCGCTTGCTCAGGGGACATGCTTCTCGGACGCAATGATCACTTACCCCACGGTGTGGGGAGTGGTCATTGGTTGATAATGCTGGCGCTCCCTCCCGAATCTATCGGAGTTCGAGGGATAGGGCCTGACCAGCGCACACTACGGTGAAAAAAAAAGAACAAACAATGAAACATATTTTTTCAGAGATGGTGATCGAAATGTCTACCAGTTTCTCTTACACACAGGCGACACCTTTTGTGAACGTTTTTTGCTGAATTAATCAGTTCAATAGGAGTGAGAGATGCAAAACTTTGCATCACTGCCGCTTCCAATTTGTATCTAGAATTGCTCTGTAGCAAAACATAAAGTGTCCCTCCACTTTTGGAAAGGTAATTTCAACCTCTATTGAAATATGCAGGAATATACAGAAAGTTTCATTAAGACACAGTTTTCCATCAATACCTATTTATATCTCATTTGAAAAATAACTTTTTACAGCATTGACTTCTACATTAAAAAGTGCTTTGGATATGTTTTCATAGAAACGAGAAATTTTTGACATGAAAAAAGGTACAGCAACTTTTCGAAAATGCACATTTTCGAAAAACATGCGGTAACTCAGAAACGATGTAAGATATCGATATGCGGTTTTCACCATCAAGTTTATCATAAAATTTGACCCTCAGACATAGCCATCACTTTTCATGTATCTAGTTTGAAAACAAGAGTTTCTCTTTAAATGTGTCCAATTTGGCCCACTCTGTACACCTGAAGGAAAGTGAGATAGAAATTTTCATGATCAATAGAGTAATTTCGAATCACCAATTTTGAGTTATCATTGTGTAATTAAAAAAATTTAAAAATCAAGATTTATTTCGAAGCCTTTTTCTATACAACAATGGTCAAAAAAAATCAGAATTTCCCTTGCAATATAATTGTGGGTTTATTGTTGTGGGAGGTGTATCTGATGTTACAGGTGTCGCTTCTGAAGATGCTGTTATTGTAGTTAGTTCTGGAGTTGATGTTGATGTTGAATTTGTCACCTTAGTTGTAGGAAGAGGTGCTAAAGTGGTTGTCAAGACAGGATTATCAATCCTACTTCGAATACAATTCTCTATAATGAGGGCAACGTTACAAATATATTCTTCATGCACATATACTGTCTTCGTTGCTGTCAAATTTGTCTCAGATAGTATCTGGTCATGAACTGTCGGAGCAGAGTTGTCGATATCGTCTAGGCCATCCATAAGAGCTACATTTTGTTCTTCTACTAGTTCGGCAATATTCACTATACAGTCTACATCAAGTTGGCAATCAAATAGGGAAGCATTCATTCTTTGAACGGTTGCGATATTTCCCATCAGAGCTCTATATTTGTTTTCCATTGTTGTGTTAGATTTATAAAAAGATGTATTGAATAATACCTGCAAAAAATAACATATTGGTAGAAAAAACTATTTTTTCAACTTGTGAATAACTTATATTAATTATGTTCGCTGGGTATAATTTTTCTATATTTTGGCTCCTGAGAGATTGATGAATTTGATACTAGAACAGCGGAGGATTGATGGATATTGAAAAAATTTTAATATTGGGTACACACAATGGGGAAAACCTCTTTTCTCCATCCCTACTATATTTCATATGTGACATGTCAAACTATGATATTTTGCATCACCAAGAAGAGTTGAGGTTTTGATAGCCCAACTTTGGCACGAATATTGTTAAGAGTTTGGAGAGTACTGAAAGTGTCTTGACAATTTTTTTTCAACAGAGATTTTTTGTGAAGCAACTTATATATTTCTCTATATGAAAAATGTCATGAAATATACTGAAAACTTCAAATGAAAGCAAGTGTCAACATACAAAAGGTGTACTGGAAGGCGCAATTGATGCATATAAAAAAGGTTTTATGTAACTCGGCGAAGTTTATATCATTAATATTGCTGCAGATTAGCCCAGTCCATCAACAGAGTTATTAGGTACGTCATTTACAGATAATGCAAGTGATACAGCTACTAAAAGAGCTGAAGTGATATATTCTGGTAAATGTATAAAAAGGATGTAATTGAATTTTTTTAAGGACAACACAGAAGAACTACAGGAAAATCATTAAGACGCTCTCACAGCGGCATCTATGCGAGAGTAGCGATTTAGATTGGATTTGAATCGCTGAAGATTAAATCCATTTGGAAAAATGTTCTCAGGAAATTTATTCCACATAAAAGCAGTTCTCCAGATGAAAGAATTCTTGAACAGTGAAGTTCGAGGTGTACTGAGTTGAACCTCAAAACGATGAGCAGCCACAGTCTGTCGCGTATTTCTGATATGTATCGATCTTGGTGTAATCAAATGTGCTAAGTCACTTGAACACCTTCCGTGTTCTATATCTATAGAAGAGAGACAAATATCCAACTTTTCTTCGATTTTCCAGGCCATCAAGGTTGCACATGATGTTCGCGTCTCCAATCAGACGGATGCCTCTTTTCTGGATGGAATCCAGCAACTTCGGGGTATGTTTGGAGGTGAGGCTTTATACATAAGAACAATACTCCAAAGAAGGTTTGATCTGAGCCTTATAAAAGATCAAAAGTTGCTGAGGTGTGTACAGTTTTCTGGTTCGGAACAGTGTTCCAAGCTTTTGAGAAGCAGCCTTTGCAATTCCAGCGACATGATTGTCCATTTTAACCCTCAACCAACTCATTGAAACAGAAAGCGAAATTATCTGACTTGACATTATTATATCCGGTTCGGAGACATATATCTCCTTGGTGAAAACCGATCCCTGGGTTTTTGTGGCATTGAATTGAACCTGGTTACTTTTACCCCAATTCGAAATCACTTCTAGATCCTCATTGAGATATGCAACCTCCTGCTGCCGGTGAAGATGTGCCTCCATAGCTGATGTACTGGAATTCAAATGGAATGACGAGACAAGTGTGCTGTCGTCAGCAAAGCGATATGTTGGATTCTGGGTTTTTTCCAATAAGTCGTTAATATACAATAAAAAGAGGGTTGGAGACAATATGGATTCCTGGGGAACACCAGCGTTGATGGGGAAAGTATTCAAGAGATATTCATCGACGGCCACTTACAGAGAACGTCCTATCAGGAAGCTGAAGCACATAAATGATCCGACAAGCCATAGCATCGAAGTTTGGCCAGCAAACACTCATGCCACACACAGTCAAAGGCCTTAGAAATATCAAGCGCAACAGCTATTGATTCCCCATGTTTCTCGATTGCGTTATTCCAATATGAGATAGAAGGTCGCCTGATGATCTTTGTTTCCGAAAGCCATATTGATGATCGCTCAATATGTTGAAGCCTTACACATATTTGAGGATATGGTGGTTTACAACTTTCTCCATGATAGCAAAGCGACTGGTCTATACTTATTTGTGAGTTTATTTTTTTTGCCCATTTTGGAAATAAGCTGAACGCTAGCAATGTTCCAACAAGAAGAAAAAACCCCCCATAAGACACATTGAAAAGTCTGCATCAGGGCCAGACGCCTTGTGGATATTGATCTCTTTCAAAATTCGCCTGACTAGACGCTGTTGAAAAGGCATTGTGGATTGTAGTGTGGGAACAGTGGGTGGTGCCTTTCCCAGAAAATCGAGTGTGGAGTGAGACGCAAACTGTTCAGCTAGTAGATTTGCTTTTACTATGGCTGTTGTTGCAATTGAACCATCCGCTTGTATTAGTGATGAAATTGTGGATTTTATAAAGTTCTGATCAACAGCTTTTGCTACCGATCAGAAGGATCTAGACCCGTGGGGATTGGCAAGCATTTTATACCGAATTATCTGATGGAATAAGTGTTCAAAGTTGTATTTGTTTGGTATTGCTTTCACTGCTCATAAAGATTTCTAACTCGCCAACCAACACACACAACAAATACAACGTATTTGTACATAAAGCCTAAACAACAAATTCTGCAAAAGTATAGGTACAAAACATATCGAGATTAGATCACTAAACTTGCTAAAACTCGAGAACGGCTGGACCGATTTGGCTAATTTCGGTTTTGAATTATTTGTGAAAGCTCAAGAAAGGTTTGAAAGGTGATTGAATATGAGGAAATGAAAAAATAATGAAAGAACTAAAAAACGGCAGGACAAACTTTTATGAATTTTGTGTTTTTAGATTTGTCTTGGGTAGTCCACATTATATGTATGAATATGCGCAAGATGCAATGACATTGTTAAACAACGAGTTTTTGGGGAATTTCGGCTGGATGTATTTTATGGAATGACAAAAACGGGGCCTGCCGCATGCACATATTCTTATATGTTTAGTTGAAAAAATTTGACCAGACGAAATAGATGATATAGAAAATGCATCTACATCTACTTTATGTGTTCTTGTACTTGATAACAAAACGAAATATATTGTATATCACAGGGTGCTCCACTGAAGAGTGCTCTTTTTCTACCAATTCTCATTTATTTTATTATTTACTAATTTATTTTTTTATACTGAATAATTTTGTATCAATTTTAAAAAAAATAAATCAGCAACTGACAGCTGACATATATCACAGGCTGAAGAGTGCACTCTTCCTACCAATTCTCATTTATTTTATTATTTACTAATTTATTTTTTTATACTGAATAATTTTGTATCAATTTTAAAATCTGCTCATCCATTGACTTAGGCGGAACGAAGTTAGCTGTGACCGCTAGTATACATATAAATCACAAACCAGAATTCATTAAGATATGCTTTATATTATCTGGTGAACACCATGCTCATGGATGAAGCTATTAAAATGTAATAGTCCTGAGGTTATATAAGATGAAATATAGAAAAATATTTTCTGAAAATAGACCTCAGTAGCAGTAGCATGTGACAGAGTCTCAAAACAATAATAAAACTAAAAAATATTAAAAGCTCTATCAGGGAAACCCTACAAATTATAATTCCGCCTTCAACAGGACTGGTCAACCTCATATTTGAGACAGGTGTTTTTCCTGCCTCCTGACGCTTTCAAATATGCGAAAGTAATTCCAGTCTTCGAGAAGGGGGATCCATGTTCCCTGGACAATTACAGGCCCATATCTATCATCTCTATTTTTTCCAAAGTCGTTGAAATAATAATGAAAAAGCGTCTATATGATTACTTCGACGGCAACAACTTCTTTTCTCAGGTTCAATAAGGGTTTCGCAAAAATCGTTCTACTTCTCTAGCTGTCTTTGATGTTGTGGGATCTATTGTTGAAGGATTCGAGAAGGGTGTGCACACTGCCATAACGCTTTTTGATTTGTCTAAGGCTTTTGATTATGTATCACACAGTATACTTCTAAAAAAATTGTATTATTATGGAGTTAGAGGGGTATCTCTGTCACTCATAGAATCATACCTTTCAAATAGGTATCACGCGGTTTCGTGTAATGATGTTGCATCCAATTTTGAACCTATTGAGCACGGTGTTCCACAAGGTTCAATACTTGGGCCCATGTTTTTTGTTATTTATGTTAATGACATATGTAATTTCATGTCTCCCTATGAGGCCATTCTCAATGCAGATGATACAACATTAATATATAGCGATCAATCATCATCTAAGATTCCACAAGTAATGAAAGAAGTTGAAAATCAAGCTAACATTTGGTTTATAGCAACTAGATTGAAGTTAAATAGTGACAAAACTCAAAATAGTTCACCACTGTAGGTTTAGCTCCATTTCAAACTCTCAAGAAGGGAGTTTGAAATGGAGGAATAACTCTTCAGTTATTATCTTTTCCAATAGTAAAAAAAATACGAAGTCAATTTTTCAAAAATTTTTGTCATTAACTCGGCTAAATTTATTATGAGATCGCTAATTCCAAGGGTCATTTTCATCCCCTAATAATAACTACAGTTTCCATAAATGATGAAAATATGCCTCTTCTGAGAGAATGGTCTACTAGCTACTCCTGGATTATTTTGGATTCATTTTACTGAGATTACAATATTCGAGGATTTTTCGTAATTCGTTTCATTGACGATATTTTTTAATTTAGAAAAAATGATATCGTTCAGGGAAAACTCTTGAATCGTTTCATGTTCTATTTTGCAATAGTACGAATTTGGCTCATTATTATCTACTTATATTCCTTCATGTTCATTATATTTACTTTTTAATTCATTGATTACTTTGTAGTATTCTTCATTTCTATTATCAGCACCTTCTATTGTGTTAGTATAATGAATATCCGAATTTTTTAATGATTTTTTGATATATGGTTCTGTATTTTCAGTAATTAAAAAAAACTGTTCTCTATGAATTCATGAATGAAACGCAGATATCTCATTTTTTCGCAGATATTTTCATACCTGTGGTTGATCAGGTCATATTTTTCTTTTTACGTTTAATTTCTCGAATTGGAAATGAGTTATATATTGTAATGTTTAGTGTCTCGGTATAATGAAATCATTTCAGTTCCGCTGAATTTCTCAGTAATTCCAAGTTGGTGAATCTTTTGTATGAGAGACGTACTTGTGTGTTCAGAAGGAGGTGTAGCTCTTCGTCTCAATCAACCAGACTCCTGGAATTTTGCTCATACAATTATTCTGAATTTTGTTATTAAAGCCGGGGCATTGATACTGTTGCAAAATAAGAGTCCAGAGATTATCAATCCTTCTCAAAGCTTCAATTTGAGAGCACATCACATTATATCCCGTTTTTGAAACAGTTGGCTCAAAGGTTCATAGGAAACCCTACAGCTATGAACTCTTCAATTTCTTTACTCCAGAGTTCAGATTCAAAAGTACCTAGTGGCTACTTGTTACTGTTCAATTTGAGGTTGTCTGCTACAGACAAATCTTTGAGTTTCTGGAAGCCATGACTGATCTTTTCGACAACGTCTTGCCAATTTTCAGCTGGAAATGAGTAATATACCTGTCATCAGCATAATAATGTATATATCTCCTGCTAGGAAGCGCACTTTAAAAGATTACTAGTTCAGACAAACTTCGACTTTTGAAGACTGTTGTTCTTAGGGGGCGACATCTGATTACCGGAAAACTGATTTGAACAGATCAATGATCGATTATTTGATGATAATCAGAAATTTATAAAGATAATTGAAAATGACTAAGAACTGAACCAGACATTACACAAAAATATGAATTGAGCCCGTTGGTTTAAATAGCTATGTAGGAATTGAACAACTCTATTATTGAACATATCTGAACATGTTTTCCATGTTCAGATATGTTTCTAATGGTAATTTTTTCAATGAATTATTTGTAATTGATTCATCTACCGAACCCCGTAGGTTAAATCCTGCTATTGGTCCTGTGATGGTCTATTGTTGTAGTTTGTACAGCTAAGTCAAATGTAGGAAGATACTTGAGAATTCTCACAGCCTACTGACAGAGCATGCATTAGGACGAAAAAGGATGAAACTGAAGCTCTTCGAAAAGTACTGTACTGCCGGTATACTACCAGATAGATTATATTGTTGCAATTGAGCGTTCTCACTGTCTTCTAACGCGCATCTAGCAGACAGGACCATACTAAAATTAAGAAAGATTTTCCTAAATTTGACAAGCTCAAGGTACAGTTAGGATTATCCAATAGGTCTATATAATGCGTTTTCCACACATTTATATTCATTTTGACGATACATGAATTGGATTTGATTTGATCATGAAAAAACAGATTTGAATGTAATCAGCTGTAGGAAACTTACCCGGTATTGTTGATCAAATATGTCATCTAAATTGGAAATATGCGAAACCACGGATGTACAAATTTTCAATTCCTGGGCGCGGATTGCAAGATCATTTATTTCATCGATTAGATATTGAACTAACGCACTAGTCCTGTTTGAGGTTTCTTGATAGAAAGAATCAAGTTTGCTGTTGATGTTTTCCGCGTAATCGTTGAGCTGAATTCTTCCAGTTTCCGACAAACGCATCATCAGTTTGGCTGTTGTGTGTATGAGAGTTTCTGTTTCTTTTTGGAGCTGTTCCGGTTCTGTAGAATATTTGAGTAGTTCCTGAACTCGTGGGTACCTTGATGCTAGTCGGCAAGACTGGAAAATTTTAAAATCTTTCATGAATTTCAAAACCCTCACAAGATAATGTATTAAAAGATGCTTATGTTTGGTATAACTAATTTTTTTCATAACCGATAAATTCTTGTGTCCAACGCACACAAATACATGCTACAAATTGAAGTCCCCCTTCGTGTCTATCTATCTACTCGAGATAAATTCAAAAACAAACGAACGGAGTACTTCAAGAAAAATATAAATCATGCTATTATAAGCTGCTACTTTGTGTTGATAAGGATGGGTATCAACACAAAGTAGCAGATCATGATAGCATGATTCACAGATGAGTCAATGTTCCTCTTTCAATAGATAATTTCGATACAGAACTTAATATCATCAAGCAAATTGCGGTAAACAATGCGTTTAAAGCCGAATTAATAAACAAAAGACTTGCCAAGAAAGTCTACACAAAAGCGATTCGAAACGTTTTTCCCATTGGTCCCATATATTGGTCAAACTGGCAGGACATTTAGGAATCGAATCCAGGAACATCATACGAGCTATGTAAATAAGAAAACAAATTCAACGTCTTCAAATCATCTTCTAGAAAAAAATCACATCTTTAATGAAGAGTTCGAAATTTTGCACATAGAAAATAAAGGTTTGAAACAGAATCATTTGAAAGCAATGGAAATTAATAAACTTAATTTTCAAACATTCTAATGAATGACCAACTAGATTTGAAGATCACCATCATTCAACTTGTTTTCTTAAAAACCGAGAATGAATTATCATTGATGTAGATGTGAGGCAATTTGCTTTAGGTAATCATAATTGAACAGGTACGTTATGTAGAGGTTCAGGTAATTTCTTAGAGGTAGTCTCAATTATGGTTACCTGTAGTATATAAATAGGATAGTAAGGATAATTTGATGTACAAATCACTTGAAAAAGCTAATGTCAAAGCGAAACATGTGATATATTTTTCAAATAAAGTTTGTGGAGATCAAATCGTTGAGGTGTAGTTTTTGAAATTACTATGTTTGATTTGTTTCAATCGTTCCTCAAATAAAAAGTTGTATCAATTTGAGGAATCACGACAAAACTTGGTTGGAATAAAATACTGCTACTGCTCAGCGGTGTTATTGATCAAGTATGAGTCAGGAAATACCAATAAAAATTTTTATTAAATTTGTGACAATATCGTCAATGTAATCATGCTCCGTAAAAACAAATTCAACTATATATAATTTCCTATTTAACTTTCATTGTCAGTATGGAATTATGAAATAACAACAACAAAAATTATTTGGCGTCCAGAGGCGACTTGATTTAATTCCAGTGGCACATTTGCTTTTTCAGCTGCAGAAAAGCCCGGAAGACTTGCAGCAAAATATCATCTGAAGATCTCAATCTGCCAATGTCCTCTTTCTCATAAAACAAAATGTAGGGTGTCTCCAGAGGCTCCAATAAGTTCAATACATCGCCGGAACACTTCGTGACACAACTATCGTCAAACTTAAACCATTCCGTTTCGTCTTTGACCAATGCGTAACAATGACCAGATTCAACGCTGGAACCAGAGTGAATAATCACTGCATGAAGATTATGATAGTGGCCTGCTACATTGAAGTGTTCATCTATTTCGAATCTTCGTAAGAGTTTGGTGCTTCCGTCATGTTTGAAGATCATCAATGTTATTATCAGATTGACTGGTGCCTCAGCTATACTTGTTTACTCATAACAGTCAGTTGGTTTGGCGCATATTTGGCAATACAGTTGATCACCATCCGATAAAAGTTCAATTTTCAGATTATTCAACAATAAGCTTTGTAGGGATTGGTTATTATCCATATCAGAAAACACTAGTTGATGTTCAAGAAAGTCACATAAGTTTTCGCTACCTCTTGGACATATACTACAAAGTAAACTAGTTGGGGATTTTTCCAGCAAATGATCTACAAACACATGACGAGATAAACTGTACAGATTTAGGCAGATTCATTTTCAGGAAAATATATTCAGTATGTTATTCAATATTGTGAAGCAAAGAAAGCTAGAAAACTAAATTTGATTTTGTGAAAAGAAGGCCAATCAATTCCTGTTATTTCATTAAATTCTTTAGCTAATATCAACATGACTGCGAGAGGTGCTTTAGTTGTTGATATTGACACATAAAATATTAAATATGAAGGAACATGAAACGGAATCAAGCGTAGGATTTCGTGGGAATCAATACGATTGTTGATTATTTTATACGTGAATATCAGAGATGTCAGATTGCATCTTCGTTCTAATATTTTGAATTTGCTTCTTAGTCTGGATGTTCTTATCAAATTGTAATTAGGACATTTATGATATTTTTTTAAATGAAGATATTGAAGAAATTTGTTGTGAACATTTTCGATTTTTTTTAAGTAGTTTTGTATTCTCCTGTCCAAATTATCTAAGCGAACTCCAATTTCGCTCTAACTGATTGTATTTATGTCACACATACGGTTTACAGATTTCACTAACAAAATTATATTGCTTTGTGAAGGAAAAAGTACTATTATAAGTGATACCTCAGTTTTCCACGCAGGTCCTCTCCATCCTAATGATACTCAAATGTATCTACATCTCTCAAGCGAGATATTGCTAATGTCTGAAAATTTTTTATATTGAAAAATAAATCATTAGTGTTACTCCAATTCACAATGTTGTTATTTTCTTTTTGTAGTGATACGCAATTACTAATGGTTCGAATACGCTTTAAAATGTTGAGATCATCTACAAAGAGCAGAAAATGTGAATGATGTAGGACCATAGTTAATTCGTTGAAGAATAATAAGAATAAAATAGAAGAGTTCCTAGCATGCAATTTTCTTGAAGTGTTTTTAATGAACTATCTATTTCTCAGAATATGCTTCTGGTAAAGGCTTTACGGAAGTCCGTGAATACTGTGATCAATTGAGATTTATTTTGTAAAGTTTCAAAATCATAACTGCTAAATAAATTATTATTTACTGACTTCTGGGTCATAAAGCCATTCTGTTCAGGTGCTGTGTATTTATTAGCGAATTTATGCAATTTCGAATATATAATTTGCTCCAATAACCTAGACGGATCACACATAATTGAGACACCTCTGTAATTTCAATTTCTATTCAATTTCCTGATTTAAATATAGATATGGTTAAAGATGTTTTCCAAAAATTCAGGAAAAATATTCGACCTAGCTGTTAAATTGAAAATATAGTGGACCTTTCAACCATTCACAACAGCCCTTCAATATGTGAGGAGGGATGCCATCTATTCCCGCAGCTTTTTTGAGTTTTTTGACAGCTTCATTATAGTCAGATTTAGTAATCGTATGTGTTTCAAAAGAGTCATTTGTCATACTAGAATTATTAAAGTTTAGATTGAATGAGGCTTTTTCTTCAAAGTAAATAGAAAAGAAAAAATTTGCAAACGATTCTGCGGTAACTTCATCTGCCACTATTTCTCCATTATAAGTAAAGCTGTATGTCCAGGAATGTTTAATTTGTTCCTTTGCATAATTCCAGAATTGATTTATATCTAACATTCGATTCTAAATTTTTTACGTATTGTTTTTCTTTCTTCGTAATTAGATTTTTAACCTTCTTACGTAGGTTTTTATATTTCTCTTTGTTATAATCAGATTCAGTAGTTTTCAGGATGTTTCGGGCTAAAATAAAATTTGTGTGGAAAGTACCAAATTGAACTCTATGAAGTCAATGAAACCGACCAGAATTTTGACTTTGATAGGCACAAAAGATGATATACAATTGAAATAAATGTTCAGAGAACAACGTACGAAAGGAAAGTCGGTAAAAAAAATAATCATACGGAACATATTATACAATAATAAGTTTCAAATATTACCGTATAATTGATACTGAGGTAATCAGCACATCAGAACATCAGTTCTGGTAGGTTCCTGAACTATTGGTCATACCATAAGCAATCAACGAAAATTAACTTGGTCAAGCAAATGAAGAACCGCATTTTACAGATTTCCGATCGTTTTTTTTTCACTTCAATTCCAGCCAAAAAGGAATCTTGTTTGAATTGGAAGGGTTATATTTTTAGGAGTGATTCATTTTTGGAAAAGAATTCTTGCAAAGCTATCAATATAAAATAATCGAATAAAACAACGGAATATGTTTTAGAACATCCACTTAGATGTTTTGACCAGTACCAAGAAAATGTTAGAGCAGTATGAAGGACATTCGAATTTTTATCCAAAGATAATTTTTATTCATTTTCAGGATTTTGATCATCTCAATGAAAGATTTAAATATTGCTCATGAATAACTCGATATTACAGACAAATATTACAAACAAAAGATATTTTTTAAATGTGGTTGTATTGACATATAGCCGAATCCTTTGAGCTCCAATCAAATAGTTACTCACCGCGACTGACAAGATGCTGACCAATATGAGGAGTTTCATTTTTGACACTAGACACATGAACTCTGGCTGAGACATGTCTGGTGTCCTACGATTTATATGTACGATTATTCCAGCCCCCACTTCAACTTTATCTCACATTTTATTTCTCTCATTGTAATCAAAATTATCAGATACCTAAGTGATTACTAACCTTCATCTATTCGAGATAGTATTACTCAATGTTTAGATGGTACTTACAAGACCACTGTCAAAAATAGGCAAGAAGGGGCACCTAAACTGACAAAACAGCCAATCAGCGGACTGCTGCAGTAGTGAACAATGTGTGTGGATTGTGACATCCAGGTAAGTTCGACGATACATTCTTCCCGTCTAAAATTGAATGCAAAGTTGACAAGAGCCACACAATCTTTGCAAGCGAATTCCAGCCGAGGTACGGTTGGGAAGATTGAAGAATGCACATGCTTCATATTTTCACAAAGTTTTTTCATCTCCTGATTGATGAAACGTGCGTCGAGAAGATATTGGGAAAAGTGCTTTTTTTGGAAGAAAGTACGGGTGCAGTTTGTTACTACAGTGAGGTGGTAGTGTCAACATTATGACACCAGATGCTCTGGCGGCTTCTGCTACTACTAGTGACTCATGATTATCAATAATCGGGTCTATCCTACATATCTTTAGGTTGAATTATTAGTTTAAAGTCATTGTAATCATATGAAACACGTTTTTAATTAAAATTATCAGTCACTTTAGGAAAAACTGAGAAACAGCTAGCCTCAGGTGAATTTAAAAAGGAGATTGATAATGGTAAATATGTGATTGTCGACCTAAAGAGAGCGTCCAAAGCTGTAGATCAAAATATTCTTCCAACCAAACTGACAGGCTACGGCATAAGTGATTTCTCGAAAAGTGAAAATCAACAGCGATCTCTCATCTGCAATTGGTTTTGATATTGGTGGTCCACAAGGTAGTGTCCTCGGGTCACTTCTTTTCATTTTGTATTCAAAGGTCATAGGTGTTTTTATTAACTGTGATTTTATAAATCTCTTTGCAGACTATACCTTGATTGCTTGTTATGATGAGAATTAAAAAACCTATTTTACAAATTAATTCTGCCCATTAAAATGTTACCTATTGTCTACAATATAATGAACTGAATTAACTATAAAAAACCAACGCATTGGTGATGACATATTAATATAATAAGATGAATTCCAAATGAATCAATAATTAAAAATTTAATTATGTAAATATCTTGAATACCTTGGATTCCAACTTGATACTCTAGTTGGATGAGAATTATCCTGAGAACTAGTCACATTACTCTAATATCATATGTGCTAAGGATATCACGGTGGTTCTCAATATCATACATGGAAGTTTTGTAAACTGGAGTATGGTAAACTTATGGTAAGATAAATCAAATCATATTAGAAGTGATTCGGTATTCGTAGATTTTACTTCTTTTGAAGAGGCATTTAACGTTCGGTTTTTGAAATCGAAATGGTTCAGTGTTTTGCTTTAGTGTGTTTCAATAATAATGCAAACAAAAATCAAGCGCTTTCTGTTGTGCCATTTTCATAGGTTCATAGTTACAAAATAGTTTAAAGCGCACTCGCTCGAAGTTATAATTTCTTTTATTATTTTATGCGGTTAACTCCTAAATTAAACTAAATAACTTACAAATGTGCACAATGAGTTACTATAATGATAAATAATGATAACATCGGATGTCAACCAGTGAGGATGACAGTGTTCCATGTGAGTGAAATTTTACCTGTTTTCATTTACTATATTGTGTAGGAATCCTGAGACTGATATCAGATTCAATTCCATAACGAATGTTTGGAATACAAACCGAATAGAAAAAATTATTTTTTGTATAATTCAGTGTTCATATGAAAGTATTTGTTTCGAAATAATTTTTCTATCGTGTAATTCAATGTTTATTTGAAAGAGGAATTTTCTTTCAGAGTGTGTCTAAAAAATACTTCTTTGCATGATCTACACATCTTTACATTGGTTGCTTTCTTTCTTTCTTCGGAAGATCGACACATTTTTCGATACAGATTGAGAACCTTCATTTCCCAAAATTAAATTTAGTATTCGAATTAACAAAATATTATCTGGTATTACCTGTTCTTGTATACGTTGGGAAAGTTACTCAAAAAAGACAAAATATTGAAATTCGAGGAATCAGAAATATATAAAATTGTGGATCTTGTCTTTAGGTGTATATTGGTCAAACCGGCAGAACATTTAGGAATCGCATCCAGTAATATCATAAGAGTTATATAAATAAGAAAACAAGTTCAACATATTGAAATAATCTTTTAGAAGGATTTCAAAGAGGATTTCGAAATTTTGCACATAAGAAATGAAGGTTTGAAGCTAAATCGTTTGAAAACATTGGAATCTAATAAACCTAAAATTCAAAAGTTTTACTGAATGACCAACTGGATTTGAATAGATCACCATTATTGAACTTGTTTTCTCAGAAACCGATATCACCCTGGTCTTCATAGAAGTAATATATATTATGCTTCATAATTAAGTATATACCTGAAGTATATACTTAATTATGATTATTTATAAGGTAGTTGACACTGGGTATACATGGGGTATACAAAATTTACAGTTAAGAATTAGTTTTCAGTAATGTTATTCACTACGAAAACATATTGTGATATTTTTAGAAATAAAATTTGTGAAGATCAATACGTTTCCGGGGTAGTCAGTCAGAAAAAAAATCAGGAGATTACTAAAACTAAATTCTACGGTATGTTAGTGTTTTTATATGTATGTGGACTAACTTTCACCCACCGCTGTTTATGAACAGCGACAAAGGTCCTATTTCGAACAGTACTTTGTTTGATCTTATACGTAGTGATCCCAGATGGAAACCAGGTAAAATTAAAAAATCATCACCAATTGAATAGAGTGAAATACATAAACAATATGCCACACATTTTGGTGGGTATTAGGTATCAAAACAGGTGTAATAGTAGGTAAAGGTTAGTCCACATACATAGGAAAATCACCTAGAATTGTTTTTCGGAAACATAAGGTCGCATGGGGTATGCAATAATAATCCAACCGAGAAATAGTTCAAAGGTGTATACAGGGTGTAATTAAATAAGTGTAAAACATTCAAGGAGGTGATTCCTCATCGAAAAAAAGATATGATCTTCCATATAAAGAAATTTCATTGGAGCATCCATTGTTAAGATACAGCCCCTTAAAGGGGGTACATAAAATTTGTATAACAATTTTTTTCACAATCACTAAAAAAGTAACAATATTGGAATTAACCTGACGTTTTGTACTACCAAAAAGACACTTAGCCAAAAAATTTATTTGGTTTACCCCATGGTTGTAAGGGGTGGAAAACGCAACCCCTAAAATTTATTTCCAATGTAACTTTTTGTCTTATTATTTGTTCACCATTCGAAAATTTATTTTCGATAGCCTGTTTCATTCTGAACAAAAAATGTCACTTGGGTTTTTTGCCCAAAATAAACCAGTTCGCAGCAAAAAATTATTTTACGAACAACTACAGAGATAGGAAAATACGAAACTAATCTATTTAGTAGGTCGCTATTAGCGATAGTGACAATTAAATTGGTATGACGCTGTCAGAACTGGCCCGCTCGATCCCCGGATCTCAATCTTCCCGATTTCTCTATTTGGGGCCATTTACAGCATTTGGTTTATCGTACTCCTGTTCGCGATGTAGAGAACTTGAGAAACCGCATCATCGATGCGTACAGGGTAATCAGAGAGACTCCAGGAATATTTGAGTAAATACGTGGCTCAATGCGCCGACGCGCATTGTCTGAAGGTAGACATATTGAACATTTACTATGATTTCTACATGTGTGTTTTGTTATTACTAATTTAGTTTTGTTTATTACCCTTTAATCTGTAGTTGTTCGTAAAATAATTTTTTGCTGCGAACTGGTTTGTTTTGGTTTAATGCAACCGAGAAATAGTTCAAATGTGTATATAGGAAAATTGTGAGCCATTTGGAATCGAGGAATAGTTTTGGTGAAAATTGTATATATTATATTAAATTGTTCATCTGCCATACAAAGAATGCATGAATCTACAAATAATATGAAATATTATTCAGATATGAAAGATTCTAGTTGGGCTTAAATTGCCCAATTTTGCCAATTTGACTATTTGGACATATTCTAGCGGTTTCAAATCGCACGATCTTGGAGGCCAATTCACGGGTCCTAACCGTGAAAATATATGCGATTACAAACCGTTTCCTTCAATAAATCAATTGTGGCAAGTGTTGTGTGACATTTTGGGCCGTCTTATTGAAACCACAGCTCCTGCACATCATGGTTGTTCAATTGATGAATGAAAATGTCAGTAGTGATGTCTCTATAGCGACTGTAACGTTCTGACCAGCATTGTTTTTTAAAGAAGTACGGCCCAATGAATCCACCAGCCCATAAGGCACACCATGTGGATGTGTGGATGTGTCTCAACATACACTTGAGGATTCTCTTAACTCCAAATACGACAGTTTTGTTTATTGACGTATTCGTTCAAATGAAAGTGAGCTTCACCGCTAAACAAAATTCGCTTATAAAAATTGGGATTAATGGCAATCTTGTTTTGGGCCCATTCACCGAATCTACGCCTTGCTAGGTGATCGTGTGGCTTCAATTTATGCATGAGTTGGACTTTGTAGATACGCAAACCAAGATCTTTCCGCAAAATATTCCATAAAGTGAATGACACATCCAATTCCTGTGAACGATGGCGGATAGACTGATTTGGGTCTTTCTCTACGCTACGCTCTACACCAGCAATGACTTCTTCTGTACTCACTGAACGACGTCTCTGTGGATGCGTATTATCATTTAGAGTTAACGAGGTGCAAAAAAGTGATTTTCAAAATAAATTTGCACAATTTGAAAGCATTGTTCAGGTGTCAGTCTATTCATGTTGAAATGCCAAACAAAACTGAACATAAGAACATATATCACTTGACAGCTGGCAAAATGACCTTAGTTAAGAAAGTGATGCCAACCAAGTTCAACACCTCTTTATGAAAACACCCTTT